GGCATTCTAAATGTCTAATAGCTCTCTCTCAGCTCATTCATAAATTGAATGTGAGGCATCTAGGGCGGCTAACAATTTAGCCTGATGCTGTCGAAAGCCCTCGTTCTCTCTAAGGGTCTCAGATAAATATCAGCCAAATTAAGGAGGAGGTCAATAAAAACAAGGGCCTCACAGGCTGTAGATTTCTCTGCATCTTTTTTAGTGCGTGAGGGCTCACCCTGGAATGTGCGGCCATGCACAGTTACCGTTGCCTGGAATACCATATGACGGGGAGGCCCGTAACTACAAACTGTGTCTTGGGGGAGGGGTTCCCCACCTCGCTTTAAAATGTCTTGGAGCCTATTTTTAAAAGATATCGGTGGGAAGTCTAAATTAAATGCATTGTAAAATATTTTCGGTTCAAGGGGGGATGCCATGATGTTCAGGAGTTGGAGGTGGAGGGAGGGATGTCATAGATTGTGGCATATCGAGATCATAAGCTTCAAGACTATGGAGCGGTGTATTGAAAACTTGAGAAGAAGCATCACTCACTTCTCCATCCATTTTTTACCTACAAAATAACTAATTCTAATGATGGGGTTGGAGCTTCTAATACATAACATAAATATAGAAAAGGAACACCATGATTCAATTACCAATTATAAAAAATAGCACGATGTAGCAATTAATTTTTGGTATTAAAAAAAGATACAACACGATTAATACGTAAAGAAAATATAAAACACAGGCAATTATAGCATCATGAATAATTTGGCAAACATACAACAGAGTTACCTACTGCAAAATTTCATGTTTTATAATTTACCTCTTATTCAACTACGAGAAACAGTTCTGGAAACAGAGTGCATGCTTAAAAGAATTTCAGCAACATATTCCACACCCATAATTTCAGCAAAGAATTTTAGCAACATAATTTCAGCAAAGAATTGGAGGTGTGTGGAATGGGTTATTTATAAGAAAAGAGGGGGAGGCAGGTGGCATGTAAGGGGCTACAGGTGGCATACAGTGGCATCCAAGTGGATTACATGGCATACAAGTGGCATGCAAGTGCTACATGGCACACAAGAGACATGAAACAATCATGAGAGAGAGAGAAGGAAGCTCCTCAGGGTTGACGGTCTTGGCAGCGGCATCCTTGCACACATGGCGGCTTCCTCTTACACACACGGCGACATCCTTGCACACATGGTGGCTTCCTCTTACACACACGACGGCGTCCTCTTACACGCAGGACGACTTCCTCTTACACGCACGATGGCATCCTTGCACGCACGACGGCTTCTTGTTACATGCATGGTGGCATCCTTGCCCACACAACGAATTCCTCTTACATGCACTGGGGCATCCTTGCACGCACGACTGCTTCCTCTTACATGCATGACAACATCTTTGCACACACAACGACCTCCTCTTACCCGCACGGTGGCATCCTCTTACATGCATGACTGCATTCTTGCACGCATGACAGCTTCCTCTTACATGCTGGGAGGCATCTTTGCAAGCACGGTGGCTTCCTATTACACGCACCGCGGCACCCTCGCTCACACGACAGCTTTTTCTTACAAGTTTCCTTGCACGCACGATGGCTTCCTTTTACACGCACGGTAGCATCCTTGCACACACGATGGCTTCCTCTTAGACACACGGCGGCATCCTCTTACACGCACGGCAGCATCCTTGCAGACACAATGGTTTCCTCTGACACGCACGATGACATTCTTACACACATGGAGGCTTCCTCTTACAAGCTCGACGGCATCCTTGCATGCACGAGGACTTCCTCATTTATGCTGGAAAGGTCTGGGTCCTTACAGATCAACACTTCGCCCCCCATGGGTGCCATCAACACTCCACCCCCTGCGGGTGCCTTCAATACTCCACCCCTTGTGGGTGCCATCAACAATCCACCCCCCGCAGGTGCCTTCAATACTCCACCCCCGGCGGGTGCCACCAACACTTCGGCCCCCGCGGGTGCCATCAGCACTCCACCCCCCACAGATGCCGTCAATACTTCGCCCCCTGTGGGTAACTTCAACACTTCACACCCTGTAGGTACCTTCAATACTTCACCCCCCGCGGGTGCCTTCAATACTCTAAACCCCATGGATACCATCAAAACTTCACCTCTGACGGGTTTCATCAACACTTCGCCCTCCGTGAGTGCCATCACCTCACCCCCAACGGGTGCCATCAACACTTCATGCACCGCGGGTGTCTTCAATAATCCATCTCCGCATGGGTTCCGTCAGCAACACATTTCTCGTGGACTCCATCATCATCGACCCAGAGCGAGTACAACTTGCTCAGGTCACAACAAAGCCACCCTCCTCAGGGCAACAACCCATCCTGCACGGTGACACCCTGCCTCAACCACCTGCAGCTACATCAACCCGAGGCATCGCCGTGCCAATCAAGCTCCACTATCAAGGTTCGCTATGCTAGTGACCTCCCTCTCCCATTAATAAGCAGGGCGTGAAAGCAACCATAGCCAGTAAAAGAAAAAAAAAAAAGAGCTTCAGGCAGACATTGCTAACAAGGCTACGGGTAGAATCGGCCAAAAGAAAAAAAATGCGGCATGGTGAAAACCTGCAGGGGAACTATAAGTAAAAATGATAGGCGGGCATGGCCACGAAGCCATGAGTAAATGAGGCTTGAGAAAAAAAATCCGGGATTGGTGAAAATTCGTAAGGGCGCCATGAGTAAAAGCAGAAGCCAAAATGGGTGGAGATGACCTCAAAGTCACGAGTAAAAATGCCCTGGTAAAAGGATTTGGTGAAAACCACTATGATGACGCCATTTCCACTTGATTCGAGTGAAAACCTGCAACGACGCTTGAATAAACTTCAATCTTTGGCCCTAGTGCCACTCCCAAAAAAAAAAATCTCCTACCTAATTGCTAGTAAAAAAAAATCTCTAGCCTTAGTTCCACCCAAAAAAAATCTCCAGCCCTAGTACCACTACAAAACAAATCTTAGGCCCTAGTGTCGCATCCAATCCCGGGCCTTAGTGTAGCCACAAAACTGTCAACGTCCTCTCCTCCATACTAAATTTCAGTATCCACGGTGAAGTCTCCTAAAATGAGACCGCCTCAAAGGCCGCCTCCCTATCAGGTCTGGGTAATTCAAGAGATCCCCAACTGAACCAGTAGGATGTGGACCAAAGAGTTACCCTTCCTGCCTTTTTACTCAAAAACACCAGCATCCACGGTGAAGACTCTTGAAATGAGACCGCCTTAGAGGCCACCACCCTATCACGTTCAGGTAATTCGGAAGATCCCCAACTTGACCAGTAGGATGTGGACCGAAGAGGTACCCTGCCTTCTCTCCTTCCCAAAATAAACACCAGCATCCAAGGTGAAGTCTCCTGAAATGAGACTGCCTTAGAAGCCCCCTTCCTATCACGTCCAGGTAATTTGGGAGATCCCCAACTAGACCAGTAGGATATGGACAAAAGACATACCTTGCCTGCTCACCATAACCTGGTATTTCTATTTAGATAGGGATAAAGCCCTCAAAAAAGCCCCTCACTAACTAGAACACCAGGACTTCCCCAGCCGGGATGCGATAAAGCCCCCCAAACAGGGTCCCCATCAGCTGGGACATTAGGAGTTCTTGTTGAAACAAAAGTCGTAAGCCCACACGAGGTAGAAGATCAGTGCAATCTCCCAAAAAACTGATTATGGCGGAATGCGGAGAATGCCCCTCAATAAGGCACCAGACCACTAGAAGCCACTTTTGTCACCCCCCGGTCAAGGGACAAGCCCAGCAAAGTCTACCCCTCAAGTACTGCGCAAATGTCGGTGATCAAGAAAAAAATATATTTGAGAGACAATAAACACTTCTTAGCAAGAATTCTCCAGAGGAGCTATGATGTTAAAGTATTTCGAATGTTGCACTTCTCGCTTCTCTTGAAGCGCAACATCCGTCAAGGGAAGTTGTTGTATGCCACTTTTTACGTAGTTCCAACCCCCTTGCAAATAAGGGGAGAGCCGTCGACAACTATGTCTTGTAGGTACACCACCCGTGGACTAATGTTGTGCCGAAAAAAAAAGCCTAGGGCCTTGTGACCTGGGTGCAGTGCTATAGCATCAAAGAAGGACCCTTTAACTGTAGCTCTATACTAGCGACTGTAGAAATGTACCAAGCCACCTCCATTGCACTCAAAATGTGAAAAATCCTCCGAGGACCATATTTGGGCTCAATTGGACCTCCTCGAAGGGGTCTATGCCCATGCGGCCTCGCAACTCTCGGGTTTCACACTAGCACAGTGCGACTTCACCAAACCAGTTCCTAGAAAAGGGGACTGCGACAACGATTTCCAGTAGTAGCTTCGCTAACCCATGGTACCTTCCTCTGAAACCGGAGAGAGCTCAAACGTTGATATGTTCTAGATCACGTCTACCCCATCATTTTGACCTACGGCACAGACTGTGGCGTGATCGAGAACCGCATTGCTCCGGGGAAGAAGGTGCTCACAGAACCAGAGGGAGAACTAGAGTTCAAGGAGAAGAAGCCTCGGATTTTGTAAAGCATAGCTCGACATCCAAAACTTGGATCTCTATGAAGACAAGTTCAATGCAACCACCTCGCAAAAGAGCTACACACTGGTACAACTCATGCATTCAATCCAAGGTTCGATGAATACAAGCCCCCAAGTCACTAGAGATTTAATTCCTGTCGGTTGTTGGAATCCCTTTTTCTGGTAACCTCCCAAATTAGACAAATGCATGAACCAAGACCAAATTAGCCCAAACTTGGTACAAAACAACTGCGGCAGCCTCTTCTCTGACTTGCAAACAGAGCTAGGAACCAAAACAGTGCTGCTCGAAGAAGCATTGGCAAATGAAGTTCACAAATCTGGCCGGACTTTCGCCTTGAGGGAAAATGCCATCACAACATGATTAAAGGGCATCCAAATGCTCACCATCGAGAGGACATTTAAGATCTACTGAAACACTAAACCATTGCCACAAGTTACAGAACAAGCTTTCAAGGTCTTGTCATGCTGGAGCAACTTGTAGGCAGGGATGGTTTCGTCATTCATGCAAAAGATCTCAGGGACATTTTTTTTTCATTTGTGCCTAATTTCAAGATTTATTTCTAATTTTTTAAAAGGTAATTAAGCTTGGTTTTTGAGAGTTCACCCTGATTTGGTGAATCCTCTATATAAACAAGCTTAACCCATTTGCAACAAAGATAGAGAGGGAGATAGAGAGGTAGACACACACTCTATCCTCTTTTTCAAGCTCTAATACTCCCAAAGGCTGGGAAGAATCAAGGCTAGACTGTGCTTGGTTTATTAGTTTGTTTTCCCTGGTGATTTCACAATCCCCACCGAAGAGGATAGGGGGAGCGAGAAACCTTCGAAAGAGAGAAGATACCCAGGAGTGCACAGTCTAGTGGGCACCCCAGCCGCATGGGTCATCCGCCCTCTTTCCTAAGCCCAGTCACCCCTTCTCTCTCTTACTCTCACCTTCGCTGGGGACCTCATTCGCACAACAGTTTGTGTCCTCCCGAAAGCTCGTCGATGTTAGCAAACCCATGGGTCTTAACCCTCGGGTTTCCTCATGCCCCCTTTAGCGGCGTAAAGAGCATTCGTAGTCCAGTCAGAAAACCTCTTTCACTATCGGCACCTATTCATAAGGAGGAGGGCCCGCCAGCACTGCACGTCGAACATCCGCGTTTGAACGTATTTTTCAGCACCTTGGTCCCTAATAGCAAGCAAGTTAATAAAGCCTACAAAAATAGTGGAAATTGCTGACAATCTCATAATGGCCCCTTAATTGGTCAAGATCTTCATTAGCATTTCAAAAGACTACATGCCAAGTTTCATCACAATCAAACATGTTTAAGGCAGTGAACACAAAGAAACAATTTCAACGAAATCTGTCTCTAGCACCCTGAAATGGACCCTGTAGCTAGATCCATAAGTTTGGTACGTCAAACATTTGTGGAATTACCACCATTAGATTTGACACGGTCGAAAACCCCTATAGGTCAAGTTTTAGCTTTAATCGAGCACTCAAAGACAAAGTTATAGGTAAAAGACTGAAAAGGAAAGGCCCCACACTATTCCTGTGTGGCCTCACCCCATCAAAACACCATTAAAGTTGGCCATATTTATAGTCAAGGGTAGTCACTTTCAGGGCCATATCTCACTCGTTCCAAGTCGGATTGCTCTCAAATTTAGTGAGCATATTTGTCTCATCAAGACGAGCAAATCGATATGTGGTACGCCCCACGACGACGCCCCAGCAGAGAGAAAAACAAAATCATAATAGCTGATCCGTGAAGGAAAATGCAAAAAATTCAACAGCAGTTTGTGTAGTTCGAGCAACCAGATCACGTCCCTCTCATCCCGATCGGCACGAAACTAATTGCATTATGTGCGTGAGGTCCGACACCTTCATTCGGACAAAAGAACAAGCTACGTTTGTTGCAACGTGATCGTAATAGCATGCTCAATGTGACTCAATGAAGAAATCACAAAAAAACATTAAGGAACGAGCGCATTATCGATCCGAAGTTTTCAATATTCATCCAAAATTCAAAGCTCATGATTGTGGCTCACAAACGCGATCCATGGCTCGAAGTTAGTATCAAAATGATTACCATGCCAAGCCCTACAAGAAAACAACACTGTTTCGATCAAACGAGCATCAAAATGACCCCGGGTCAGCCACGAAAGATCACGCAAGTTCTCGAGCAACAGCAGGGACTGTTCTGAAATTCCACACATTGTTACCTAATAATGGAGCTTCTAATATATAGAAAAGAAGCACCATGTTCCGATTTTCCTGTTTTCGAAATATCAAGATATAAGTGGAATCAACAAATAAAATATAAAAATTGAAATTAAACACACCACCTTTGCAATTAAATATACCACAATTCCAATGAAAAGTGTTACATTTACGCAAAAAATCCATAGATCTAAGGAAAGGAAAATAAGAACATCAATAAAACTCAATACCAAAGGTAGCAAAGAGAATAAGAGAGAGGATAGTGTATGGTATGGGCCTCAAATTGCATAGAGTATGAGAGGGAGGTGAGCACCCATTTATTGTCTCACGTAATTCCGGGGCTGACAATTACATGTTTGTAAACTGAAGAGCTCATCATTAAACAAACACTAAATAAATAACCCAACAACAATAACTAGTGCAGGACTACGACCAATGACCACAGACCCAGCTGATACCGGTATATTGAGGAACGAAGCTCCTCAAGGCCATCTTCAACCACTTCAAAGTCACGAGCAATACGCTGGATTGTATCTTCAATTTTCGTAAGCCTGGCATTTACAACTTCAAGAGTGGAGCAGACTAGGTCAAGACAAACCTTAAGGCGCTCATAAT